TGACAAAAAATATTGAAAATTTAAAAGTGATTTATGAGCGTTATTATTAGGCATGGTCTATTTATCCTCACGAACAAAAGTTACTTTATTATTAAGATAATTTTATGAAGATAAACTTTGTTCCTTATACCATGTTATTTGGACGCATAGTTTAAGAGATAATGTAAAATTAAAATAATTCAATACTTGGCTAGGCGCGCGAACGACGCTTAAGCTCTAACCGTTATAAAATGCTTGAACTAGGTCATGTTGCGCCCCGTGTGGAGTTGCCAGAGCTCCCATCGGGCGCGTCCCCAGGTGGCGGATAGGGGAACGCCACTCAGATATGGGTGGTAGCGGGAAACCGTCGCGGACCAAAACTGGCTGGGTGAGGGCTTTTTTGCATAGCGGAGGGCCTATTAGTTGCTTCCTGTATCCTCTACCTTGAGAGGAACAGAGAATGTGACATGCGCGGTGAGGTGCCAGGTGCACTCGGCTTTTGCCGACGCCGGGCAACCCGTAATCGCGGGGTTTTCAGGGACCACACCCTGTAAAAAAGGAAACTGAATGGGCTCAGTGTTCCCTAACCCGGTCTCTGGGCAGGCATGGGAAGAACCCGTATCGACTCTGCCACCATTCGAACCTCGGAATCCCTATGGCGTGTCGTGGATCACGTCTCGCGGCGCCTAAGGGGCCGAGGGCTCTTGGCTTAACCGCCTGGAGTCGCGAGGATGATAACCTCTTTAGAAAATCACCCGAAGCTCAAGCGTGGCACGCCGTGAGGAGCTGCATGGCTGATGGGTAAATGTTCAGTCGTTAGCGTTGCCCCCGTCGGGGTACCGGCCGACACCCTTGACGGGTTACGCATAGGCTTATCTGCTCGGATGGACTGTTATTTCCTCCACACTCGTGGGATAAAAAATGGACAAGGAAAAATATTTAAAAAAAACAGTAGAGGTAGAAAAGGCAGGATCAGATACTGGTAGCGGCGGAAATCGATCGCGTGGGACGTCTTCCGCTAGGAAACGTCCAGTGTGCCGATCGTTTTTTTTTTTTTTTTTTTTTTTTTTATAGGAGAGGGGGCAAACGAGCATGCGGCTCACCTGATGGTAAGTGACTACCGCCGCCCATGAACAACCGCAACACCAGGGGAATTGCAGATGCGTTGCCGGCCTTTTAAAAAGGAGTAGGCTCTTTTCTTGAAGGTCCCTAAGTCGTATCGGTCCGGAAAAATCCCTGGTGGTAAACTATTCCACAAGGAAGTTGTGCGAGGAAGAAAACATCTTCTAAATCGCACAGTGGTGGACCGCCAATCATCCAGATGGTGTGGATGGTATCGGGAGTTCTGCCGCGATGTGCGTTCGTGAAATTTGGCGGCTGGGATTAATCTTAACAATTCCTCAGAGCACTCCCCATGGTAGATGCGAAAGAAAATGCAAAGAGATGCAACATCTCTTCGCAGTGCCAATGAATCGAGCCGATCGGAAAGGGCTCGGTCGTCGACGATTCGAGCCGCTCTGCGCTGGATGCGGTCAAGTGGAAGGAGCTGGCACTGGGGAGCCCCTGCCCAGAGATGGGAACATTATTCCATGTGAGGCCGAACCTGCGCCTTGTAAAGTTGCAGGCGGTGTGCCGGCATGAAATACTGTCCCGCTGTGCTGAGCACGCCAAGCTTTTTAGAGGCCAATTTGGCCTTCTCTTCCAAGTGACCACGAAACTGCACGTCACTCGATATGTCGACTCCGAGGATACCGATACTGGCTGAGGCAAGAAGGGGAGTGCCTTGAAACTGAGGAGATACGACAAAGGGGTTCTTTTTAGCGGTAAACGCGCAAACTTGTGTCTTCTGAGGATTAAACTGGACTAGATTTAGTCGCCCCCAATCCGAGACTTTGTCCAGCAAAGACTCGACTTCAGACACAAGTTTGTTCCGGTACTCGGCGACGTTTTCCCGAGAAATATTGGCCCGGCCGGTGTATAGAGCATCACCAGTGCTGTCATCCGCATAGCAATGAATGTTACCAGTTAGCAACATATCATTGATATGCAGAAGAAACAGCGTTGGTGATAGCACACAGCCTTGTGGAACACCAGCGTTAATAGGCTTGTAGTCAGAACATGCACCGTCTACAACGACCTTGATGCTCCGATCTGCAAGAAAGCTGGTGATCCAATTGCACAATTTCTCGGGAAGCCCATAGGAAGGCAGCTTTGAAAGAAGCGCTTTGTGCCAAACCCGATCAAAGGCCTTCGCAATGTCCAGACTAACGGCCAACGCCTCCCCCTTGGACTCTACTGCCTCCGCCCATCTATGGGTCAGGTAGACCAGAAGATCACCAGCTGATCGACACCGACGAAAACCGTATTGGCGGTCACTAATCAGCTGGTGATCCTCAAGGTACCGGATGAGCTGGCAGTTAATAATGGATTCCATTATTTTGGAGAACAAGGAGGTGATCGCGATAGGCCTATAGTTGGACGGGTCTGAGCGGTCGCCTTTTTTAGGGATCGGGTGGACAAAAGCTGTCTTCCATGAATTCGGGACTACGCCTTGGGAGTAGGAGTACCGGAAAAGACGCGTTAGGACCGGTGCCAACTCCGGAGCACACGTCCTCAGCACAATTGGGGGGATTCCGTCAGGCCCACTCGACTTCTGGATGTCCAGGGAGAGAAGTGCTTTGCGAACTGAGCGCTGTGAGAATAGCACATCCGGCATGGAGCACTCACACCGCGGGATGGTCGGCGGTATTTTCCCCCCGTCATCAAGAGTCGAGTTGGACGCAAAAAGGGAGCCTAAAAGGTCGGCTTTGTCTTTTGCGTCTTGGGCCAGCGAGTCGTCCTCCCTGTGCAGAGATGGTAGTGATGGCTTACAGAAATTCCCTTGGACAGCCTTGGCGAGAGACCAGAATGCACGGGTTCCCGAAGGAAGGCGAACTAGTTTCTCGCCAATTCTGCCTATGTGCTCTGACTTTGCCTTAGCAATAACATTTTTGAAGGACCTGGAGGCGAAGTTATACTTCTTTTTAAGTGTGCTGGTGTTTACATCCCGAGTCACCGAAGCTGCAGCCCAGGCTTGATAACACTCCTGCTTACTGCGCAATGCAGTCTTACAGGAGCGACCAAACCAAGGCTGAGATCTGCCTCCGATGGGTACCACAGATGATGGAATAAATAGTTCCATTCCCTGTAGCACCACATCAGTGACAGAGTCAGCAACAGCACTGGGATCATCCGGCGAGAAGCAAACCCGCCCCCATGGGTAGGATGCAAAGAAAGACCGCATTCCGTCCCAATCCGCCGACCTGTAATGCCAAACACGGCGGCAACCTGCAGAACGCAACCGCGAAGGGAGCGTGAGTGGCACCATACTCCGGATCAGACAATGGTCCGAAGAGCCGAGAGGGGCATCGACGGAAACCTGATATCCGTCCGGATGAGAGGTCAGCAGAAGGTCCAACAGGGAAGGTGTATGATCCTCCACATCTGGAATCCGCGTAGGCGAAGTAACCAGTTGTGTCAGACCATATGCCAAGGCAAAGTCATAAACAGATCTCCCCGCATGATCGGTTAGACGTGAACCAAGCCATTCGGCATGGTGGGCGTTAAAATCGCCAAGGATCACGATCTCTGCGGATGGGACCTGTTGTAGCAAGGAATCTGTAGCCATTTGGACGTGGTCGATGAGTCGGTCTGTTTCGGCATTACCGCTATGGGACCTATAGAGGCACCCGTAGACGCGCGGATGGTCGTCGCTGTCTACGCGTAGCCAAAGGATGGACAGGTCCGAACCTTCAAGACTGCCGAGGCGTCGAGAACAGATGTCCTCTCTAACATACACGCAAACTCCAGCCCGAGGCACAAAGGAGTGCTCCAATTTGTACCCCGGGTAGGAGAGATACGAAATATCAGTCGGAGAGGAAACCTGCGTCTCGGTCAAAAAGAGCAAGGCCGGCTTCGCCGTCTCGAGATGGTAGTGGACGGCGTTTAGGTTACAGTGAAGTCCCCTGATGTTGCAGAAATTCACGGATAGCGTGGCAGGGGTCGCCTTGGTATTGTTGCTCAGCTTGCCCCGAGCAGTTTTGTTTTTGAGCGGAATTTTGCCCCCCCCCCAGAATACGCGGGGCAGCCTGAGCACCCACGCTCAGGATTGGAATAACATGGTCGTGGATGCTCAGCGAGGGATTCTCCAGGCGTACTGGTACCCTCCTGGGGTAGTCTATTGTCTAATTCCGCTACCATTTTGATGGGGGGGGGGGGAATTGGGCCTCCGGCCACCTGCACTCACCAGACGAAACGCAGAAGCAGAGGAGGAAAGCCTGCCGGCCCCCAAGTTGCCGACTTCGGGGAGGGGTCGGCAGGCATCGAGAGGGGCGAGTACTTCGCAGCCGCGGAGGGATAAGCACGGACGGTTCGTGTGCTCCAATACCTCGGCGGCTAGCGAAGCAGATAGTGACATGGGGTTCACTACGGAGGACCCTGGCGATGGCGGTGAAAGCTGTGCCTCGCTGGGGAGCTCAAAGGCGGAGCTCAATGCCGCCAAGAGGGAGCAGCGCAAAGCCGTCGCGGCCGACGAAGTGTCGGAAATGGCCCGACGTGCTCGCGAGCGACGAGCTGCTCTTGCGGCGGAAGGGGGAGAGCCATCTGCGGTGGCCTTAAGCCAGCTGGCTCTGGATGGGGTGGACTTAGTCCTGAAGGTTGCCACCAAGTCCGGCAGCCTGAAGGGCACGTTCACCCGTGGCTTAAAGGAGGCTGCCGCGGATATCAGGGAGGCGGTTGGCATCCTACTCAACAGGACGGCCTCTGACGAGGTCGCAAAGTTACAGGAGGAAAACAGCCGCCTCTGAAATGACTTGGAGGACCTCCGGCGGCAAGTTGCTGCGCTAAGCGAGCAGCAGCAGCAACGCACGTCCAGCGATGCCGCACCTGTAGTGGACCCGACTCCCGCACCGCGATCGGCAAGCCCTCGTACCGACGAAGAGGTCGAGCGCATTGTCCGGCTCTGCATGCTCCAGTGCGGGAGCATGGTTAACGCTCGGCTGGAGGCAATTTCTCGGCGTCTCCCGGTTGAAATCCTTCGTCCGCCTTTAGCGGCTGACACGCGGAGGACTGAGGAGCCGCCGACACTTGCGCATCAAAAGGGGAAGCCCGCGGAGGGTAACAAAAAGCCCGCGGAGGGAGCTCCTCCGAGCAACCAGCCCACGACTGCCGGGTCTATGGGTGAGACCTGGGCGAAAGTCGTGGGCCGCAAGAAGGCCCGCAAAGCCGCCAAGAAGGCCGCAGCAGCCGCATGTGCCCCAGGTGGAACCGCAAAGACGGCTCCTAAACCTGCACAGTGGACTGCCAAAGGCGGTCGCAAGAGACCGGCTGTACATGTTCCGCGGTCCAACGCTGTGACAATAACGTTGCAGCCTGGAGCTGTGGAGCGTGGCGTGACGTACCAGTCGGTCATCGCCGAGGCCAAGGCCAAGATCAAATTATCTGATCTTGGCCTTCAGTCCGTCACCCTCAGGCAGGCTGCCACGGGTGCACGATTATTCGAGGTGGCTGGCACTGTGAGCGGCAGTGCCGAAAAGGCGGACGCACTGGCCGCCAAGATGAGGGAGGTCCTCAACCCAGAGGACGTCCGGGTCTCCAGGCCAATGAAAACCGCAGAGGTGCGGATTGCTGGCCTGGACGACTCCGTGACCTCAGAGGAGGTGGTGGCGGCCGTTGCCAGAAGCGGAGAGTGTCCGCCGGACAAGGTGCGGGCTGGCGATATACGCACCGACGCCGCCGGACTCGGCGCGGTCTGGGTTCGGTGCCCTGTAGCGTCGGCAAAGAAGATCGCCGATAGCGGCAGATTGCTGGTAGGCTGGGTGGCGGCAAGGACCAAGCTCTTACAGCCCCGGACTTTGCAGTGCTTTCGGTGCCTGGAAAAAGGGCACGTCCGGGCGAAGTGCACCGCCGAGGTTGACCGTAGTGACCTCTGTTTTCGCTGCGGCCAGCCTGGCCACAAGGCTGCCCAGTGCACCGCGGCGTTCAACTGCAGCCTTTGTTCTGCTGCGGGAAGGCCTGCAGAGCACAGAGTAGGCGGAGGGGCCTGTGGGGCGCCTGCCAGCAAGGCCAAAAAGAAAAAGGAAAAGAAGAGGAGCACTAAGCCTGCCGGGTTAACCTCGCTGCCCCCGCAGGCTAGCAGCTCCGCGGCCGACTCCCGGCCCAGGACCGTTGCCGAGGGGATGGAATGTCAATAATGGCACAATTCCATTCTCTCCATTTTCTCCAGGGCAACATCAACCACTGTGCCAGAGCTCAGGATCTCCTACTCCAGAGCATGACAGAGTGGTCGATTCACGTGGCTGTGGTCGCCGAACCGTACTTCATTCCCGCCCGTGACAACTGGTTGGGATGCGCTGACGGTTTGGTGACCATTATTGGCGAGACTCTGATCGACCCGTCTCGGGGCCGCGGCTGGGTTGCTGCGGTCTCGGGCGGCATCGTTATTGTAGGGGCGTATTTCTCCCCCAACAAGAGTCTCGCCGACTTTGAGGGTTTCCTTGTCGAGTTGGGCGCCGTCGTAGGCCGTTATCACCCTCGTCCCGTTCTGGTGCTCGGGGATCTCAACGCCAAGTCATCGGCGTGGGGATCTCCGGTCACTGACCCTCGGGGCGAGGTGCTAGAAGAGTGGACGATGACGACTGGTCTGGTCGTCCTGAATCGGGGTTCGGAATACACGTGCGTGCGGCAGCGGGGTGGGTCGATAGTGGACGTCTCGTTTGCTAGCCCCTCTGTCGCCAGCCGAGTCCGCGACTGGCGTGTCGCCGCAGAGGTGGAGACGCTGTCGGACCATCGATATATCCGGTTCGACGTCTCTGCCCAGACTGCGAGCGGCCGCCATCCAACAACCCCGATTAACGACGGCCCGCGTTGGGCGCTTAAGCGCATCGACAGGGAACTACTTGAGGAAGCTAGTTCAGTCCTGTTCAGCCCTAGTTCAGTCCTGGATCTGGGAGTCGACGACTGACGGCCCCATCGACGTCGAAGCGGTGGCGCTATGGTTTCGCGGGGCGATGACGCAGATCTGCGACGCGTCAATGCCCCGTGTCCGCCAACGGTCTGCAAAGCGCCAGGTGTACTGGTGGACCGCCGAGATCGCGCAATTGCGCATAGCGTGCGTTGCGGCTGTCGCCGGTACACCCGATACCGGAGGCGGCGTCGACGGGATTCCGCCGAGGAGGACGCGCTGTATGAGGTGTACCGCGCGTCTAAGGAGACTCTGTGGCTGGCCATCGGCGACTCAAAGTTGCGTGCTAGGGAGGAGCTGCTGGGGTCCCTAGATCGGGATCCGTGGGGGCACCCCTACCGTTGGATTCGGGGCAAGTTGCGTCCCTGGACGCCTCCACTAACACAAAGGATGCAACCCCAGTTGCTAGAGTCGGTGTTATCGACTCTCTTCCCTGAGCGAGTGGGACACGTTCCCCCGGCGATGGCTTCGCCCTCAGCCACAGACTCTCCAGAAGAGGAGAGCACCGATGTCCCCGAGGTGACGCAAGCAGAGACGAGAGTGGCCGTGTCGCGACTCCGAGCTAAGAACACAGCGCCCAGACCCGACGGAGTTCCTGGTCGAGCTCTCGTCCTGGCTCTGAAGGAGCTAGAGCCCCAGCTGAGAGGGCTCTTCACGGCATGTCTCGAGCAGGGTCAGTTTCCCAGTGTGTGGAAGGAGGGGAAGCTGGTCCTGCTCAGGAAGGAGGGGCGCCCCGCGGACTCACCGTCCGCGTACCGACCCATAGTGCTGCTCGACGAGGCGGGCAAACTTTTTGAGCGTATCATCGCAGATCGCCTCGTCAGCCACTTGTACAGAGAGGGGCCGGAACTGGATGACAACCAGTTTGGTTTTCGTCGCGGGCGCTCCACCATAGACGCTATTACGCGCGTGAGGGCCCTGGCGGAGGAGACAGTATCCCGGGGTGGGGTGGTGCTGGCGGTGTCCTTAGACATCTCCAACGCTTTCAACACCCTACCCTGGAGCTGCATTCGGGAGGCGCTGAATTACCACCGCGTGCCTCCCTACCTCCGCCGCACAATAGGGGCTTACCTTGAGGAGAGATGCGTTACCTATTGGGGACGTGACGGCGCTGGTCGGCGCGTCATGTCGTGCGGTGCTCCGCAGGGATCGGTCTTGGGACCGCTCCTGTGGAACATCGGCTACGACTGGGTGCTGAGAGGTGAACTCCCGTCGGGCGCCGACTTGACGTGTTATGCGGACGACACGCTCGTCACTGCCCGGGGGAGTTCACACAGGGAAGCAGCGTTGGTTGCCACGGCTGCGGTGTCACAAGTGGTGAACCGCATCCGGCGCCTGGGCCTGGAGGTGGCCCTAAATAAGTCGGAGGCCATGGTGTTCCATGGCCCTCGACGCGCGCCGCCGCCGGGTTCACACATCGTGGTCAGCGGGGCCCGGATAGCTGTCGAGTCCACCATGAAGTATCTGGGATTGGTGCTCGACAGCCGATGGGAATTCGGACCCCACTTCCGGCGGCTGGCGCCCAAGCTGATGGGTGCAGCGGGCGCGCTATCAACGTTGCTTCCCAACTTGGGGGGCCCGAGTGCCGCCTGTAGGCGATTGTACGTGGGAATCGTGCGGTCCATGGCCCTGTATGGGGCCCCTGTGTGGGCGATGGACATGACGGCCAGCACTCTCGCCATTCTGCGTAAACCGCAGAGGGCGATGGCCGTCAGAGTCGCCCGCGGGTATCGCACGATTTCCTACGAGGCGGCTTGCGTCCTGGCCGGATCCCCGCCCTGGGACCTAGAGGCGAAAGTACTCGCGTCATTATATCGATGGCGCGAGGAAGAGCGGGCACGGGGCTCGAGGCCGGTGCAGCGGCAGATCGCGCTGCGCCGAGAGGAGCTCCGTCAGGTCTTGGTGGCGGAATGGCGGCAAAGGCTTCTGCGCCCTACCGCCGGCCTCGCTACCGTCGAGGCGATCCGGCCAGTACTCGACGACTGGCTCGGGAGAAGGCACGGCTCCCTGTCGTTTAGGGTGACGCAGGTGCTGTCGGGGCATGGCTGCTTCGGCAAGTATCTGCGCCGCATAGACAGGGAGCCGGACGCTCGGTGCCACCACTGCGTCCATTGCGGGGAGGACACGGCGCAACACACGCTCGCCGAGTGTGTAGCTTGGGAGGAGCAGCGCCGTGTCCTCACAAATAAAGTAGGAGGCGATCTGTCGCTGCCGGCCTTAGTGCAGAAGATGGTCGGTAGCGCAGAGTCGTGAGATGCAGTGGTGTCCTTCTGCGAGGACGTGATGTCGCAGAAGGAAACTGCGGAACGGGAAAGGGAGATCTCGACTCCCTTCCCTGGCCGCAGAAGGCGCACCGGGCGCAGGAGAAGGGCGGACAACGCCCTTTTCCGGCCCCCATAAATGGGTCCAGGGGCGAGGGACTTGGGGAAGCCCCCGCCACCCCTACTCGATGGACCCGAGGCGGAGGCGCGCGCGGGTGTCGGTGCGCGCCCCTGAGGCGATACACGGGGTAGTTTAACACCTTACTACCCCGTGCAGGAGACGAGGCCTGGACGGACCGGGCCAGCACTAGTGTGGGGCTGCGGAAGAATTTGGATTCCCGCGGCCCCACGCGCACGTGTGAGGAGACACCGGGGTGGTTTTAGCCGGTAAGAGTCCGGCACGCCCCTCCGCCTTTCCCCAGGCGGAGGTAGTCCATGAGGATTTCCCCCCGTTAAAAAAAAAAAAAAAAAAAGGTCATGTTGCGCACCTCAGACACGTGATGACGCGGGTGAAACCGTGGGGCACAGCTAGTGTAAAATAAAATGGTAGGAAATTTAAACGTTTAGCCTAATAAAGCATTTTTATGTGGTGAAACCAATCACATTGCAGCTTTGTCATGGCTGCAGAACAAAATCATTCGGCTCGATCAGGGAAAAACCACGCTCCCAACGAATAGCAGCATATAATAACCGCATAATGCTGCTGTGTATTGTATGGTGAGTGTGGCGAATCAGATACACTTTTTACTAGAAACGTGGCATTTCATATCTTCGAGTCTTACAACGCATGTAATTTTGATCCTTAAACGAGGATAGAGGAGAGAGATTTATGAGTCACAGCATTCACTTATCATCAGGTGTGTACTCGTTTATTACTTTAAAACAAAATATTTTTCATTGCGCTCAAGGTAGAAATAAATATCAGAAATTCATCCTTTTAGCTATTGTCACCGCGTTCAGCGTAGAAACCTCGTCTATTATTACGCTCACATAACATAAATCGTTTCACTTATGGTTTCACGTACGAGTAATCCCGCACGAGCAACGAGACGAATTTCACACTTTGAATATTTCTGCAGAAATATTCAGTTATTGAAAATATTTCTAATATTTTTATAGAATAAAGACAGAGAACTATATAATATATCATAAATTAAGAATCAAAAAGCAATTAGAGAAAAATGTGTCTTCGTTTCTCTACGCTCACAATACGAAACATTGCAGCATTATGCGGCTGTTTTCACATTCTTTGGTGATCTTCTGTACAATTTGCCGAAGGTATGTATGTGATCTAAGGTACTAAAGCCTTTTCGGAAATCGGCTTGTTAAGGAGACTGGAAGTCGTCTAGTTCGGTTTGTAGTTTTTCAAGTGAGCGTTGTCGCCTTTCTTAAAGCACAAGACTACCGCACTTCTGCTTCACGCCTCTAGAGTAGTCCCACCATGGTGGATGGAATTAAAGAGCTTCTAAAGAACTTCAAGCTCCGCTGTAATTGAATCATCTTTTTTAAGGTGAATGAGAACCATTATAATCTCGCTCATACTATCGTCCGGTCGTCTGTGTCGATCGTTACTCACACTTGCATGTAACTCCAACGATGACCTGTACAGCTGCCCATAGAACCTCTCAATTTCACTCAAAATCTCAGGTATCCAGGAAAAGATGCTGCCACACTCGGTCTTCAGCTTCCACAGTTGGCTCTTTCTGGCAGACAGATCTCTGGCAAAGACTTTAGATCTCTGGTTCCGCTCGATGGCTTCTTCAATACAAGCCGTATTGATGTTGCGTAAGTTCCGCCGCATGCATTTGCAGAGCCGTATATAAAGTATGCTGTCAAATCTGCTGAAGACAGCAGTTTCATTTACCGTCTAACAGCCATGAGATTTAGACTGTGACCGGAGAGTTATTATGTTCTTCTCCGACGGGTCTTACTAAGTTCTGTTCCGCCCACATGGGCTTGTGAGCTTGTCATTCATATCCACTATAATGCAATCTTCTAGGCACTGAAGAAGGCTTATTCAATTCAAATAAACTAAATTTGCAAAAACCATAAAATCCAAAATGGCTGAATTTATAAATAAGACATTAAAATAAATAGGTATTACTCTTACTTAATGAACACAGAGAAAACAGTAAATACCAGATCAAGAAATAATTGTCTGTAGTATATTGTAGCAATTTTATGTGCAATAAAAATTCATAGTAATGACCATAAATCGGATTCTTAAACTGGAGGTCACTGGATCAAAATAAACGAAGTTGATATTATTTTGATGTCTTTTATCTCGCGTAACAGTCTCCAATTATACTAACTAAAGCAAAACAATTTTTTTTTCTAAATATGCATTATTTTGAGTGGAGAATCGATCACCTCATTCTCATCAGAGTGTCACAATGGCGGTACCATGAGTAAAATCAAACTCTGTTGTTTTTTAACATTAGAAATGATTCAACTTGTTGTTATTTGGTAGTGTGTTGAGTTATGTGAAGAACTGTTTACAATAAATAGACAAAAGTGTTATCTAAAAGTGAAACATTTATTGTGATATCATAACTGAAGTGTTTTCCGTGAAAAGTACATAAGAAATAAATGCCAGAAACTGTTACCTGCTTTATCAAAAGAGTTTTGCCACCTTTCAAGTACTTTCACTAACGGTTTTTTATTTTATAAAATTGAACTGACTAAACGAACAGAATGTAAGTCCACGTGATGGAAAGTGGCAAGCTTCAGTTGCCCATGAAGAATTGCAACCAACTTTAAACAAAGAAGGCTACAGCTGCGTTGTTACCTTTGAAGACTAAGATGGAATTCCTGCACCCTTTAGGCTGGAACACAGTGAACGTACTGCTTCTTGGGAGCAGACATAGACATTATTACAATGACTTAAATTACCACATTGCAATCCCATTACTAAATAAAGGACGTTGGTAGAGTTTACTTGCTGAATGGATATATGCAACCTTTAGACTACACAGGGTTTTGAGTAAGAAAAAAACAACCTTCTTCCCACCAGCGGCAACGACCACTCATGCAAACCAGTTCTACCCTGGGAATGGCAAGAAGAAAGCCAATACACTTGGCATAATAATGAAAAAGACTTCATAAAGATCAGATCTTTCTGGCATTTCCCCTACTAAGACCTATCTCGTATACAAATATTATTTCCCATTCTTTCACCAGATTTATGACTTTTTTGTGAGTCAAATGAGCGATCATACTGTGAATAATTAAACAGAACAAGTCGGGCTTGTAGTGTATATGATTTAATATACAGTGAATTTCTCTTGTTTGGTATTGATATTGATTTTATTTCCGGAAAAACGGGCTACGTTTTATTTACACTAGGCTTTTTTTTATTATCTCTTCCAACACACGTTTCAACCCGGAAGAGTTATTTGTAGACTTTATTTGAACCAAACGGGATTCAACCCGAGGCATCGCATCGTTGCAGTTATTTACTTATTTAAGCTTAGATAGAACATACAAAATAAATTTTACTTCCTCATGGTGACCACATATGAGAATAACTAACGCTCTTTTATTTATTAATTGCCGTAAGCCTCCAATATAAAATATAACGGAAAATTGTTTTGCGACTTCAAAATAATTAATCATCAAAACCGGTTCATAATTGGCGAAGATATCGCGCATACGTGGATAGAATGAAAAGATTCCGACCTAAAAAAGATCCAAAACATTTGTTTTAAAATTTTTTCTTCTACATAGTTTCCTTGTTACTCTACATACTTTTAGCGATGCTCCCATCTCTCTAACCCGTCCAAATAATACTCGGCGTTTTTTCCTGCAAAATAATTGTTCACGAAGGTGATTGCGTCTTCATTTGACGAAAACATCTGTCATCCGAGCACAGCTTTTAGATAAGGGAACAAAAAGAAGTAGCTTAGCGCTAGATCTGGTGAGAAAGGCGGATGGTCAATTATTTCAAACCGTAATTCGTGGATTCCCGCCATGGCAACCGTTGAAGTGTGAGACGACGCGATGTCATGTTGAAACAGGATTTTATTTATCTGGAATTGTGGCCGTGTTTTCGCAATATCTGCCTTTAGTTTGTCAATAAATGATGCGTTGTATGCTCTTGTAATGGTTGTTCCTTTATAAAGATAATCGATTAAGAAAACTCCATGACTATCCCAAAAAACATGTGCCATCAGTTTCCCATCCGAAACTTGACTGTATTTTTGTTTCGAGCGTATAATAGTGTATCCAAATTTCATGTGGAGTAATTAATCGGTGCTGAAACTCGGATTTATTGCATCTAAACTGCGCCCATAGGCGTTGGAAATGTTCATTAGAACACGTTTTTAGTGTAACGTGAGCAGACGCGGCATCAAATGCGCTGACACCTATCTCATGCCTAAATCTTGATTTAATATATAACAAACACGTTCTTTGGACATGTTCATAGCCTTCGGTATCTCTCTCACTTTAATTCTGAGGTCGTCTAGCACGATTTGGTGAACTTTAGCGATGTTATCGTCAGTAGTTGCAGTTTTTGGACGTATCGAACGTTCATCGTCTCCAAAGCTCTCACGGCCCCGTTTAAGTTCAGTTACCCAAAATCTCACTGTGGTAAATGATGGTGCAGAGTCCCCATACACAGAGTCCAACACATTTTTTTGCGTAGGCCATAAAAGTTTCATAAAGTCGCGCCTGACCTCATTGACGGTTAACATCTGTTTTATTCTGCTCCGTAATAATCGATCTTAATTAGGCGTTTAAAGTAGAAGTTTGGTCTTAATATGATATTCCCCTTAAGCTTGTAAAACAAGCTCACTAGTGGTAAATTCAGAATCAAAATCTGTAAAATAGTTCTCAAGTTATAAGTAAAAATACTTCATCATCATCTTCATCTTTACAGCCCTTCACAAGTCCACTGCTGAACATAGGCTTTCCCTAAAGAATGCCACAAAGCACGGTCCTGAGCCACCTGCATCCCTCGACTTCCTGCATCTCTTACCAGGTCGTCACTCCATCTAGTGGGGGGACGCCCTACACTTGGTCCACCGATACGAGGCTGCCACTCGAGAACCTTGTTTCCCCATCGGTTGTCGATTCTTCGAGCTATATAGTGGCCGATTGCCACTTCAACTTACTAATCCTGCGTTTATCACACAGAGAAACCCCGCGCCTTCTCCATAGCTCGCTGAGCGACCTTGAGCTTCCTCATATGGTACCATAGGTCACCACTGGCAACACGCACTGGTTGGACAGTCTAGTTTTTAATCTTTGGGGTATACCTGACGAGAAGATATGCCGTAATTTCCCGAACATTGCCCAGCCAAGTTGAATCCGTCGATTAACCTCTCGGTCAAAGGTGGACTTATCTAGTTGGACTATATATACCTGGGACAGGTAAACATACTCGTCAACAACTTCGAGCTTAGTGTCCCCAACAACTACCGGCATAGGTTTAACATGGACGTTACACATGACTTTTGTTTTGTCCATGTTCATCTTAAGACCTATCCATTAGGAGACAATATTGATGTCATTGAGCATAGTGCTTCAGCTAGGTCCTCCGGCGATTCTGCCATTAGGACTATATCGTCAGCAAATCGATGCACTCACCATGACGTCACATGTACTCGCTATTGACGTTAATACCGTATCCTTTCCAGTCCAGTAGCTTGTAAACGTCTTCCGATGCAGCGGTGAAGAGTTTCGGGGAAATAACGTCACCCTTTTTTACATCTCTAGTTATACAATTCATACATATCTATATATACATAGGTTTCGTACTCTGGTTCTGTACTCGAATAGCCATCGAGTTTCGAAAATACTTCAAAAAATTTAAATAACTGTTGTGTTCCTACGACGAGCTTGACCCCCCTGCTGGAGTGAGTCAACGTGCCTACGACCGGTGTGTATGTAGCGAGTGACCTCTAGTATATATATACAGTAATGTATGCGAGTGACTGTCAATATTACCTAAAAGGGTTAATTGCGCGGGATGTCGCGACGTAATTATCGAAGGTAACCCGTTTATGAGATGCGTCAAATTTAAACAGTATTTTGAATTGTTATGAGCAAATTTAACTGCTCAGATGTACGCTACGCTCTCTTCTGATTTTAAAACCTTTTGGATTTGCGATGAATGCCGTTATAAAGTACCTAAAGGTGATAACTCACACACACCACAAAGTAGCTCTCACAGAATACCAGCGTAAAATAGCAGCTTAACACTGCTGTGTTTCGTATGGTGAGTGTAGAGAACCGGAGACCCTTTTTACTGGAAAAGAGGCATTCCATCTTAGTCCTCACGGGTGATAACGCATCTGCATTTTGATTCTTTATTAAGGATAGATGTAGATGTCTATGGGTCACAGCAACTACTTACTATCAGGTGGACTGTGTGCTCGTTTGCCTCCCTTTTCTATAAAAAAAAAAAACACCAATTCGTCAACAATTATCGCTATTACTAGTGAATGCCCCGATATATCTATTAATAGCCCGGACAATGTAACTCGGAGCTCGCATTCCACCACAAACTTCCAGACAAAACGAGTACTTCAGTAGTTTGTTGGAGGAAATCTGGGTTTCTATTGTGAATGAATTAAAAGAAACGCAGGAGAGTTTTAAAAAAAATTGAGTATAAAATTAGTCATTTGATTACTGAAAAATTTCTCACATTTAAAACTGAACAATTTGATATGATGACGGGGTTAACAGGTAAAATTATTGAATGAGGAAATAAAAATCAAATCAAATGATGATTAAATCGTCTCAATCTAAAAACAGCGGTGAGGAGACTAGTACTACTGCATCATTACTTACAGTCTCTCCATTAGTTCCCACCAATACCCCAAAAGACCAACAAAATAAAAAGAAGTGTAATAATGCCAAGCAAGATTTTAAAACCTCCAATGGGTCAGTTATCACTCCACAGAGCTCGGCGGTCGATCGATGAACCAATGCTTCCGTGAATAACATTGCCTTGAATGTGGATCAAGCAGGGAAATGCGTGGAAGTGAAAGGGACTAAAAGATCGAGAGCTTCGTTCCCTGGAGTGCTTCGAGGTACTGCGGTGCCAAGTGCTATATCTTTGCGCACTGCAGAGAGGTGGAGGTACTTGCACTTGCATTATGCACAGGATGGTACAACCATCGAATAGGTGCATGCTCATCTTAAATACATACACCATACATCTTATATGTGGAAATAACGTTTGCACTGTGGAAGCGTTGAAATCAATTGGAGCAAGCTGAAAGTATCATGTCACTGGCGCATTGGGCAGAACATATTTCTGTTAAACCTTGGCGCCAGGACTTTCGTACCAAAGAAAATAATACGCAGCAATAGGCGTCAAGGGTTTATGAAAATAATTCTGTATTATCAAAATGTTCGTGGTTTGCGCTCAAATAAAACGTTTTTTTATAATAATATGACTTAAGGTAATGTTGACATTATCGCCTGGACAGAGACGTTTTTGACTAGCTCTGTCTCCGATGGTGAACTTTTCCCTCAAGCTATGTTGTGGATCGTAAAGATAGATTAAGTGACGTTGGTTGGGGAGGAGTAATGTTGGCTGTGCGTGATAGCTGCGAGGTTCGTGTAATTTCAGGTATTGATGGTATGTAACCTGATAAAGGATTAATATTCGCACTTGTGAGCTGCAAAAATGTAAAGTTTTTATGTTGTATGGTGTACCTACCACCAAATTATTGCGACGATCAGTATATTGATGTTCTGACCTGCATGGAAAATGTTTTGTGTACTTATTCAAATTTGAATATATTCGTATTAGGTGATTTTAATCTTAATCACTAATGTTAAAACTTAATTTAAGATTTTTTGTGACTTCTGTATATTGATCTACAGGAATATAATAATGTATTTAATACTCGCGGTGGCTTGCTAGATCTCGTGTTGAGTAACTACGATCGTAACCAACAGGAGGTGTTGCCTGGATTGGATTCACTCGTGCCAATAGTTGAGTACTCGTATCACCCTTCTTTAGACGTCAAAATCAATCTTTCATACGGGACGTTCTTATCTAGGCTGCGGTCTTCGCCTGATGAGAGTTTGGATGCGATCCCCGAAATGGCGTAATGAAATTGGCGTAAGGCAAACTATCAAGGTCTATATGCTGCGTTAGCTGATTCAGATCGGTCCAAGTTAATGATTTTTACAAAAGTAAATTCGGCCGTAAAATTTTGTTAAAACAAATTGAAAGAAATTATTAATTTATGTGTACCAAATAAGAAGTTTTTCCAAATCATCGCCAGTGTGGCGGCGCTGTCGTCGCGCCACAAGCGAAACACATCGAAGCCTAAATAGCACTAACAAAGTTCCGAAGTTGAATCAGCATATATAGAATAGCTCCGAACTACCAATTGGAGTTGGCCGCTCCCCGGGCAGAACACCTTGCCCGGTGCGAGATCTCCCCTTTTCCTTCCACCGACTACACCAGTATATCTATCCCAAGTGGTTTACGCTAGAGATCATAAAAAATATTAAAAAAAATATTTTCAATTAAGAAAGAACTGCCGTCACAGGTGGCTTGGTACCGTGCTTTGTTGCATTCCTTGGAGGAGGCCTATGTTCAGCAGTGGACTTGTGAACCTAAGTGAGTATGTGGGCAGTTTGACCTACTTAGGTTCCATATCTGAAAAAATAGAAAATACTCTTTGACTGAGTGGCGTTTACGTGGCGTTCAAAACAAACAATTCACTTAGAAATATCTGTAATTATAAAGATAAGTTAGATAATCGTCTAAAGTCTGTTGTTTATTAACTTGTTTGGTCACAACTTCGAAAGACGTTATAAAGAGCATTTAGCCGCGTACAGGAATTGTAATCCCGATAAATCACATTTTGCCAAATATCTCTTGGACACTGGACATAGCCTAGCCAATGACCGCTCTTTTAAAGTCTTACATACTTGTAGTAAAGGGCTACGACTGTGTGTGCTGGAACAGTTCAAGATATTAAAAAATAATAGCGGTTACGTTGCACTGCTGAACGAACAAACAAATGTTTCCAACTCGCCTCTCTTAAACAAGTTTAAGCCTGTTCCTTGATGATATACAGCCTCGCAACATGGTCGTTTGTCACCCTCACGGTGCAGTGGCCAGCGATTGGTTGCGTGGTTAGAGGGTAGACGGACCTTAGGCAGTAGTATGTTCTTAATTTCACAGTAAATATCTGCGTACGTCAGGTGGTGATTGATAGCATGACGTAATCGCTCGCTACGTAATTAGAGCGCGGTTGCGTCAGCAAAAAGTATAAATAGCAGTAGTTTCGGCTCGCCGCTAACTTAGCGGCCAGCCTCCGGTGAGTCTACTTCACCTGAGGATGCCTCGTGTAGAGGCGAAACACGTGTCGTATTTTCGAGAGTGGTGTGTCTGGCCTCGTGTGGTGGTGCTGGGGATGGTAGTGCTGAGATTGACGGCGCCGGGTATAGTGCGCGCGATTGAGGGAGGGTGGGAAGTCCCCTTGAAACTGGACTGGACACATTTTCTTTCTTTCTTTACGCGGAATTAAGCAAATTAATTTATAACAACCCCATTAAAAAGTATGTTTGTAAAAGAAATTTGGACTCCATTTGAAAGAAAATGTAGACAGAAACTTCTTTAAATGCTGATATTCAGTATTGGGTTGTAGAAAAATAATATTATTTCCTACTCTACGCGAACGATGTCTGAAGTGAGAATGGGCTGTGATTTTTCGAAATTATGTCGTTAGCCAACCTCCACGGACGAAGTCACAGGAAAAAGCTAGTAATCAATATTTTAAACTTTAAATTTCGACTTCTGTCTGTGCGATATATATATATTAAACCAAATTTCCTAATAGTTTGAAATTAATGTACGGAGCGTGCAGCCCTTCTAAAATAAAATGTATTTCACTGCTGGGAATAAAGCTAAGAAAAAGACAAAGTAAGTCACTTAGGTTATGAATACGGATATTCCCAAAAATTGTCTGTTGAGTACACGCTCATGTAAATTGATTCCTATTTGTTACCGGCCCCTAAAGTATAAATTTTCCGGTTAAGCTCTTTTATTTTTAGGGCTACGGTGTTAGCGGTGATCTGCCTGGGTAAAAATCATAATTTTCTTTGTATTTTTGTAGTTGATGTATTCATTTCAATTCCGTCGGACGCATAAAAGAGATTTTTATTGTTACAACTTGTTGAACTGTTCTTATTTTATTTTCAATTGTATCGACACTAGCATTATGTACCGTGAAACTCAAAAATCAGTCAGTTAATATTTAAATTCTACGGTGATGAATGCAAAATCATTATTTTACATCAAATTTATATAGATAATCCACTGTTTTGCCTTCTCTGTATAGGTATTTCAAAGGATAAGCCAACTATCAGCATTGTGAATATCGGAAAATATTTCAAGTTATACAAACTTCAATTGCAATATTCACCACGCATTATCATTAAGCATATAAAACGGACGATTGCAGTAATTTTTCTAACAATTACACTCTATATTCAGAGTCAAAAGGAGGCTGGTATAACTAAATAAAATAAAAAAAATATGTTAAAATTTTTGTTTCGTAATGCCAAAAGGTATATTAAGGAGTTAGAGGCAATTAATTGTTTAGTTTTTCGAGATGTTCTAGTCATCCGAAATCCTGATAACACTATTGGTCATACTGTGTATGGGAAAAAGACCCATGCCAATCGATATTTAAACGTCACTCACCACCATCCATCACAGTTAGGTATCGTGGGAAAATCTTTGTTTCAGAGAGCACAAGTAATCTGTGCCAGAAAACATCTGGACGCCGAGATTCAGTACGTCAAGCAAGTATAGCAAGACAAAAAGCGTCGGGTCTAGCCAAAGAACACGGATTCCTACCAAGGATGGTTCACGAGGCTATTAAAATAAAATAAAACGTCCTAATTTCAATAGAAAAGATGGCTGGGTGCTACCATCTGCTTGGAATCCCATAATTAATAAAATTAAATCCAAACCCATGCATACTGCAATATAACATACTACAGGACTTCAAGATAGTATATTTACGTAACGTTTATGGAATTTCATTGTTAAGGGACATACTTGTATGGAATATAGAATAGAATTAATTAGCCGTAGATTTGGTGACACTGTACACTTTTTATCTACATCTGTGTTACTACACAGTTCACTCTGTATCTATATTATTATAAATAGATCTTTGGTATTCAAAAAATGGCCTGAGTTACTGACTCATCTATAAGGCACAGCCCAAATCGCTTGTCGTAGAAATCTGGAATTTGGACATAGATAAACACATGCACTAAGGAAGGGTTTAACATAAACAGAAACTATTTTATTTAATATAGATTATAAATAATACTTACTGAAAATCACTCCTTTGTTAAATTACCACTAATTCGAAAAATAACCTCTGTCCTGGAAAGAGCCAGCAAGAAACCCAGCGGGACTTCTTTTTTTAAATAACAGATTACAATCATGTGATGACAATTAACCACACAAAAGAAATTAGAAATAGCTTGGTAGCGATCACCTCATTCCCAGGGGTATTATCATCCATAAATTCCTTAATATTATAACAACACATTTTATACAAACTTTGTTCAATAAAGTTTTTGAACTTTGAACAGGTTAAATTTTGTATATTTTGTGGGATTTTGTTGTAAAAGCATACACGTCGCCCCAATAACGAATTACTGACTCGATGGAGTCGAGTAACTGGTACTAGATTGTGTCTGTTCCTAGTATTTACAGAATGAATATCACTCATTTTTGTTTAACTACCTTCATTGTTGTGTCCGTACATATATTTTCATTTACATAAATGTATTGAGAGGCTCAAGTTAATAAATTAATTTCCTTAAATTTTTGTCGGAGCGACTCTCTTTAGGAAAATTCTACCCATAAAGGTGTCCCTAATAAGAGGGTGAGAATGCTTGTTACAGTTTCCGTGAAATGTGGGAAGCGATGGGATGGTAATTCGACGCGACCGGAGAGATATCAGATGCAGGACCAACGACACTACGTGCTTTCCGATGCACGGAGATGACACCAACAACAGCAAAATTGCTTGACAGGAAAACCCAAAACTTATTTGTGGCCTAACCCGGGATTTGAACCCGGGACCTAATAATCAGCAATCGTGTTATGATCTCTAGACAAAGGAGGCAGTCACTTACTTGCCACTTGCGAAAAATTATGTTTTAAAATAATAAAATTCCTTTTATTACGTAAATTATGGAGGTATTAAATTATTATTATACTTGAAAATTAGTACGCCTACGCCCTGAAATAATGAAATAAGTTTTGTTTTTATTTTAACAACAGTTGTTAAGACGAGAGCACAAGTTTGCATGAAAAATGCATTTTAATTGAATGGTGGTGGGGAAATTCGTAAAACGAAGTTAAGAATACTATTTATTTTAGAAATTAACAAAAGTCTGCCCCTATTACCCCTTAGAATGGAGAATTTATATACAAAACAGTAAAATTATCTATATATCGTTGTGTATAGGTTGGTTACGTTCATGAGATTGGTATTATTGCAGTTTGCAACTAGATGGCGTTAGCGCTAAATTAAAAGGTTTTAAATATAATTTGCCAAGAATTTTGGAATGCGTTATATTTATATATTTTTAATATTTCAATATTTAAGTATTTAAGTGTTAAGTGATATGGGAGCTAAATACCCTTTTTTATTTCCCTACTATTTCTAACACACCCATCAATAATGTCCTTTAGGTAGAATTTCGGTCATGGCGGTAAGTCTTAAAGGAAACTAGTAGGTAGTTTATGCAAGACATAGATATATTATGTACGAACCAACGGTTATACGTGCTTTCTGATGCACGCAAATGAAACACCGTTAAAATCATTACTCCGGGCTGCTACTGAGACTTTCTTGATAGAAAACCCAACTGATTTTGAACCCTATCACACCTATTACTTAAAGGTCAAAAGACTTTCCTCGGTTGAGTTTAGTTTTCTTTTCATTCGCTTGCAGAATGAAATATAACATACATTAAAAATTATTGAAAGTAATTTTGTATTTACCACTGGTTCGGAAAATACCTCTGTCCTGGAAAGAACCGGCAAGAAACAAAGAAGCAAA